TTTCAAAAATTCCAAATTCCAAATTCCAAAAATTCCAAATTCCAAAAATCCCAAATTCCAAAAATTCCAAATTCCAAAACTAAAATTAATTTGAAACCCCCGTTTCAGAAATAACCTCAGTTATGTATATTCTTCACAAACCAATAACTACACATATGAAAATAGTTAACAGTCTCAGGCGTTATTTCCATCAACAAAACGTTGCACGCGTTTCAGCAGTTTCCATTACAGCAAATCCGCTTTGAAACAGAACCCTGCCAACAATACAATTCGTAGATATTACAATGTTATTTTGCAGCGAACACTGCATATTACACGGTTCGTGAAAATCGAAGCTTACCAAACTTCCATAGGCCACAGAGGGGGAAAATAATTTCAGGTCTAACGAAATACTTTTTCATGGAATTTAAACGTCGAACGAGGAACAATGCGTATAGAAAAAATCTGCAAGTAATCTCCCTTCTTCGATGTTCCCCTCCATCTTTCGACAACAACATTTTCCGTTCAGACGATCAGTATTTCTTCGACGAGAAAAATCGAAACGGTTCACGTCCTCTTGGAATGTTCTCGTTATATTGCCGAGAGCAGTTATCGTAGCAAGAATTCTCTTGGTACATCAAGAATATACGAGGAAAGTACGGATATATTTCGTGTAAGGTTGTAAGATTGTTTACGGAAGTTACGTTGGCAATATAACGCGAGGGAACTATACTTGAGATCTAAACGTTACACCGCAAGAGTTTTGTATTTTTTAATAGTATTACTACGAGATTTCGGTTGTGAATTAAGGAAGTGCAAGGTTTTTGGAAAGTGCAATATATCGAGAGGTAACTATATTCGGAAACTACGCGTTACAAAAATATTCTCGTGCGAGTTTATAGCTTGTAATAGTATTACCACAAGATTTCGACTGCTGAAATAAGCCAGTGTTAAATTGTCAGAAATTGCAATATAACGAGAGGTAACTATTCTCAAGATCTACACGTTGCAACAATTTTTTTCTACTGTCTTCTATCTTATAACATTAATCCCACAAAATTTCGACTGCTGAATCAACCAAGTGCAAAGTTGTCAGAAAGTGCAATATACCAAGAGGTAACTATTCTCAAGATCTACACGTTGCACCAATTTTTCCGTACTACCTTCCATCTCATAACATTAATCCCACAAGATTTCGACTTCTGAATCAACCAAGTGCAAAGTTGTCAAAAAGTGCAATATAACAAGAGGTAACTATTCTCAAGATCTACACGTTGCAACAATTTTCCCGTACTATCTTCTATCTTATAACATTAATCCCACAAGATTTCGACTGCTTAATCAACCAAGTGCAAAGTTGTCAGAAAGTGCAATATACTAAGAGAAAGATGAAGTTGTGTATCATACTTTTATGTACCCTCGCGATCTGCCACGGATACAAGATTCTAGGGATATTCCCGTTCCACGGGAAGAGTCATTTCGTGATGTTCGAGGAGCTGATGAAAGCTTTGGCCAGAAAGGGACATCAAGTGGATGTGATTAGTACGTTCCCTCTGAAGAGACCGTACGCCAACTATACGGACATCGTCAAGATACAGGCGCCGGAACAGCTGCTGAACAATCTCACCTTCGACGGTGTGGCCGTGTTTACCAGTGCGGAGGCTGGGTACATCGTGGCCTCCATGCTAGGGAATCCACTCTGCGAGCATCTAGGGAGTCCGGAGATACAGCGACTTCTTAATCCGGGGGAAAATCGTTACGACGTCGTCATTGTGGAGGTATATCTTTGAATATCGATACAATCGTGGTATGTTTATATTCATCTCATAGATATTACGTTTATTCACGTCCATTTACGTTTAGACTAATGGCAGATAATTTATCTGATAAATTCGAAGGGTAATCATTTATTTGCTAGATTACGTTTGATAGATTCTCGTATACATTTCACAAATTGTATTTGCCTAAAAAGATATTTATTTTCGGCTGTCAGGTATTTTTGTTGAACCAGACATTCGCATTTATTTCACAGATATTTATCTCTCAGTCAGATATTTGTATTCGATTGATATATTCATATTAATTTGATCAAACTTGATCGTTAAGCACGTGAAACATTATATGTAGACACATATGTGCACATATGGATGTGATCGTTAAGTATATGAAACATTATATGTGGACACAAATGTGCACACATGGATATGATCGTTAAACATGTGAAACGTTATATGTGGACACATATGTGCACATTTGGATGTGATCGTTAAGCATGTGAAACGTTATATGTGGACACATATGTGCACATATGGATGTGATTGTTGAATATGTGAAACGTTATATGTGGACACATATGTGCACACATGGATATGATCGTTAAACATGTGAAACATTATATGTGGACACATATGTGCACACATGGATATGATCGTTAGGCATGTGAAACATTATATGTGGTCACATGTGCACATATGGATGTGATTGTTGAATATGTGAAACGTTATATGTATGTGGACACATAAGAACACATATGTGGACATATGAATGTGTTTATTAAGTATGTGAAACGTTATATGTGGACACATATGTGCACACATGGATATGATTGTTGAATATGTGAAACGTTATATGTATGTGGACACATAAGAACACATATGTGGACATATGAATGTGTTTATTAAGTATGTGAAACGTTATATGTGGACACATATGTGCACACATGGATATGATCGTTAAACATGTGAAACATTATATGTGGACACATATGTGGACATATGAACGTGATCATTAAGCATGTGAAACGTTATGCTAGTCACATGTGGATACATGTGTGCACACATGGCTATAGATGTGTTCCTCATCACGGCGAACAAACAGATTTAAAATCTAATCTTCAAGTAGATTAATAACCCAAATTAGAAAAAAGTTCCACGACACGTATCGATTGCGAAACTATTCACAATCTCTTATCAAGCACATTTCATGTTTCCTCAAGTGACCCATAAAGCTGTAAAGCGTCGAATGTATCCGACAGTATGAAATATTCCTCGAACCGATGTTCATAGACATATCACCATCGAACTATCCTCTCAACGTCCAAAAATCGCGAGTTCTATAAACTCGTACAGCGTGAAAAGAACTCATAAAAGTACTAAAAGTTTCTAAAAAAAACGGAACCATGAAGCTATTGATTTTATTTTGGACAATAGTGTCGTTTTGCGAAGGGTACAGGATTCTGGGACTGTTCCCGTATCACGGTCGAAGTCATTTCGTAATGTTCGAGCAACTGATGAAATCTTTGGCCAGAAAGGGTCACCAGGTAGAAGTGATCAGTACGTTTCCCTTGAAGACACCGTATCCCAATTACACGGACGTAGTTGCGTTCGAGGTGACACAGCATATAGTGAATAATGTGACTTTTGAGCAATTAGAGTCGTTCACCGGTCTAAATGCTGGTTACACTACCGCTTGGGAAGTGGGAAATCCTATTTGCGATCGTTTAAACACCGAAGGAGTTCAGAGGTTGTTGAAGAATGCGCCTCATGCGAATCCACCTTATGACCTGGCGATTGTTGAGGTAGGGTTGCTTCTTTCTTGCGATTATTGTGGCTTATGGTAGAAGGGCGGTTTTGATGAGAAGGTATGGGAGATGTGGAGATTGTCGAGATTAAAAGGTTGGGAAATTGGGGAATTGAGAAATGGAGAATTAGGAAATGGGGAATTAGGAAATGGGGGAATTAGGAAATTGGGAAATTAGGAAATGAGGAATTTGTGAAGTTGGAATTTAGGAAATGTGGAATTTGGGAAACGGGGAATTAGGAAATGGGGAATTTGGGAAATGGGGAATTTGGGAAATGAGGAATTTGTGAAGTTGGAATTTAGGAAATGGGGAATTAGGAAATGTGGAATTTGGGAAACGGGGAATTAGGAAATAGGGAATTTGGGAAATGGAGAATTAGGAAATGTGGAATTTGGGAAACGGGGAATTAGGAAATAGGGAATTTGGGAAATGGGGAATTAGGAAATGGGGAATTTGGGAAATGGGGAATTAGGAAATGTGGAATTTGGAAAACGGGGAATTAGGAAATAGGGAATTTGGGAAATGGAGAATTAGGAAATGTGGAATTTGGGAAACGGGGAATTAGGAAATAGGGAATTTGGGAAACGGGGAATTAGGAAATAGGGAATTAGGAAATGAGGAATTAGTTAATGGGGAATTGGGAAATGGGGAATTAGGAAATGTGGAATTTGAGAAATGTGGAATTTGGGAAATGTGGAGCTTGTGAACTGAAAAATTTCCAAAATGAGAAATTCGGAAATGGAAAATTTCACAAATGAAAAATTTAAAATTTAGGAAATTAAGTAACAGGATTGTAAGAAATAAAAATTTGGAAAATGTAAACCTAAGAAAAATAACAAATTCTAAATTAGGAAATGAGCAGTTAATAAATAGCAAATAAAAATCTTTCATATCAATATTCCCACTCTGTAAAAGTTACAAGAAATTCATATCCCATTCCCCCTAAACCGCAATATCGACCCAAAGACGTCACAAAAACATCTCAATCTGCCCTATTACACAAATCTCCACAATTTCCGCGAAATCATGACAAATAATTTGCAGCATCATCCCAGCCTATCTACTCGTACATTTATATAAATATATACGCAAGAGTCTATCGTCATCGAGCTTCGTAACAGGTCACTGTTCGTTAACATGGCACAAGTTCAAATTTCGTGCGATTATATTTCGTCGACCTTCACGGATTCTAGCGCGTAACACGCGTCAGATATTTATAAAATTACATTTCACGCTTAGAGAGAAACAATACGCTCGTATCTTCCCTCGTCGGTGTTCGGTCGACAGTTTCTCCCGATCATCCAACGTGAGCGATTAAACTCTCGCGAGAAAAATCGGCCGATAGTTTTCCTCCCGGTTTATCGCTTCTTTTATCTTTCTAATAGAGATAGTTGCTCCTTCGTTTCGACACATTGCGCTACATGTCATATCGATATTTATCGGAAGGTCAAATTTATCTAGGATGATCCGACGAATCGACCGCAGTTGTCAGTTGATCGGTGAAGCTCGTGCAGTCTCGTGTCGTTGCGGTCTCGGAAGGTTGCAGTCGAAAAACGCGTTCAACTATGCAGATTGTCCGGCCTGCGTCTTCGGTCGGAGAGAACGAATCGATCAGCGAAGGGAATTTTCCGGCTATCAACTAGTAAAGTGTCTAAACACGTGACGTTCGAGCATACCGAGGGTGATAAAACTCTAAATAATCATCCCAAAACATATTTCGATTGAAACAAATATTTGATAGAAGTACAAGATTGACTATTTACCATTGTGGTGATAGAGTGACAATTTCGAAAAAGCATCAGCAGAACAATGAAGCTGTGTTCGATCGTCCTCTTTTGTGCGATTCTGTCCATCTGTCATGGATACAGAATACTGTGCCTGTTCCCGTTCAACGGGAAGAGTCATTTCATAATGTTCGAGCAGCTAATGAAAGCGTTGGCCAGAAAGGGGCACCAGGTGGACGCGGTGAGTCCGTTCCCGTTGAAGAAGCCGTACCCGAATTACAGGGACGCGTTGACGGTGCCTGTCTCGCGGCAGTTCATGAACAACATGACCTTCGCCGAGGTGAACGAGATGATCAATTCATCGCCGGCGTACGCCGTCGGGTCTATACTGAGCGACGAAGTGTGTCGGTATCTAGGTAACGAACAGATGCAACAGTTCCTGAAGAATGCGCGCAAAAATCCGACCTACGACGTGGTCATTATGGAGGTATACATTCAGTTTTATAGCAACGTCCTCTCGGGTTTCCCGAGACCTTTGTTACGGACAAAATGGTGCTCGAACGAGAGTACCCCTTTTTAGAAAGATACATATTTTATTCTAAGTGTCTCCTCGCATATGGGGTACTTACTGTCGTTTAGAGCCATTGAATAAGTATAGGGTGTTTAATATACATTCTTTCTGAGTGAAATGCAGTTTTAGGGAAAAGTAGGGAATGGGAGAAGATTTAGATAAGCTGTTCGAATGTTTCACAGGGTTTAGGTGTAAAAATCCCTAGATTTAGAATTCCTATATCCTAAATGACTATACTCACAGATGCTTATATAAAAAATTCCTAGACATCCAAATTACTAGATTCTAAATATCACTAGACACGAAAAATCACTAAATCCCCAATCCCTATATAAAAATCTCTAAAGGACCAAAACTCTAAATTTGAAAAATGCCCAGATTTGAAAAAATCCCTAGATTCAAAAAAATCACTAAATTCGAAAAAAATCCCTAAATCCCAAATCCCAATATAAAATTCTCTAAAGACCAAAACTCTAGATTTGAAAAATGCCCAGATTTGGAAAAATCCCTAGATTCGAAAAAATCACTAAATTCGAAAAAAATTCCTAGATTCCAAATCCCAATATTAACATCTCTAAAGGACCAAAACTCTAGATTTGAAAAATGCCCAGATTTGAATAAATCCCTAGATACGAAAAAATCACTAAATTCGAAAAAAATCCCTAGATCCCAAATCCCAATATCAAAATCTCTAAAGGACCAAAACTCCAGATTTGAAAAATGCCCAGATTTTAAAAAATCCCTAGATTCGAAAAAATCCCTAGATCCCAAATCCCAATATTAAAATCTCTAAAGGACCAGAACTCTAAATTTGAAAAAAGTCCTAGATTCGAAAAAATTACTAAATTCGAAAAAAAATCCCTAGATCCCAGATCCCAATATTAAAATCTCTAGAGGACCAAAAATCTGGATTTTAAAAGTCACTAGCTCCAAATGCCTGTATGCAAAAGTCTCTGTATACGAAAATCCCCATATCCTCAAATTATTATATAATTAATATTCTAACAATTCGAATACGAGTTAAAAACTTGTTTCCACCCCGAAAGGCGCTTTCGATATGCATCCATAACAGCAATGGAGCTAATAACGCTTCGCGATAACGCTGACTAATATGATTTAACTACTAACGGCTACTAAATAATGATACTTGTCCAGGAAACAATAGTTGTCCGTAATAATGTCGTGCACCGGTGGTTTGGTCGTTTCGTCTTATCCCTACATTATGCAACTGTTAGCCAGGCCTAATGCAACAGGAAGAGGAAGATTAGTGATTATAGCTATGCAATAAAAGGCAAAGTGCATTTTCACGCTGCACTTTTAATCGCGCCCTCTCGATTACGGCTCAAATTTCTCCGATAGTTTTATCGAGCAGTGACAATGCACAAAGTTATCGTTGCCCTCGGTAGTCGCGTGCGGCTATCTCTACAGCTTCTCCAGAAAAACAATTAGTGACAATCGCTGCGATTGCGTGACTCCAACGTTCGTGTTCGAAAAATTCGAACTTATGCAACGAATGCTTTGTAACATCTTATCGAACATTTCGTAATTCTTTTCTATTTGGCACTGTTTGTTCTATTAAATTACCGTTTGTAATTGGACGAAGTTTATCGATAATGTTCGATGCAGTCGTTCTCTATAACGTTTCAAAATATCGTAAGAGGGTGGAGAGTAATAAACCGTTCGGAAATCGTATTGACCATATTGGCGAGCGATAAAATAGCTCCAAGGAGCTGTGGGCGAAAGTTATTGCTCGCGAGAATCGAACCGAGAAGTTATTGATTCGAAACAAAAATGCATCTCGTACAGATCATTTTTTCAATGTACGATGATAAACGAGACTGTGTAAAGACATCGTGGACAAGAACGCGGTTTTAACCTGATTTGATACGTTCCTTTGAAATATGTCGTAGACCGTAAATAAATGAATTTAAACCGCGCGTTTTTCCGCAAACGGTAGAGAGATTAATTACGTAAGGAGATTCAATTTTACCCCGTTTTAAATTGAAGCTTTAAGAAGGTGCAGCGAACGAAAGGCAAAAGCGCAGGATAAGCCAAAGAAATACCATCTCGATTTGTTCTCGCGCCTCGCGTACTGCACCGTTTTTCCATTCTCCGCGGTTATTTTTCTCCCTTCATCCCGGTAAACAGACTTCGCACGAGTTCTAGAAAAGTGTCCCTACGGAGACAGTCGTTAGGAACATTAGTCGCGTCGTTTTACGAGCGCGACGTCTAACTGTTAACGCTATTAAGCTCTTCGTTGATCTATGAACTACCTTAAACGTTATTCCATTCGGATGGATTAACTTTCGTTGATAAGAACCGATCAGCTAGACACAGCATTAAAATTCCATTAAGAAACGTTCGCATGATTGGTTCATATGTCATTGCAGACGCTATTGCAATTTGGTGATTGCGATATAGTGGTTTTGTGTGACTATGAATTTTGGATATGGAAACTTTGAGATAATTATCGATACCTAAAGATGTCAAGTTGCACTTTAAAATTATGCATTAGGAAAATCTGAAATTGAAAGTTTCAAATTCCATTTTCAAAATTCTAGAAATCCAAATTCAGTAGATTTAAAAAATTTCAAAAATTTCCAAAATTCAAAAATTTCCAAATTCCAGAATTTCCAAATTCAAAAATCCCCCAAATTCCAAAATTCCCCAAATCCAAAATTCCCCAAATTTCAAATTCCCAAATTCCAAAATTCTCAAAATTCCAAAATCCCCCAAATACCAAAATTCCCTAAATTCCAAAATTCTCCAAATCCAAAATTCCCCAAATTCCAAAATTCTCAAAATTCCAAAATCCCCCAAATTCCAAAATTCTCAAAATTCCAAAATCCCCAAATTCCAAAATTCCCTAAATTCCAAAATTCTCCAAATCCAAAATTCCCCAAATTCCAAAATCCCCCAAATCCAAAATTCCCCAAATCCAAAATCCCCCAAATTCCAAAATTCCCTAAATTCCAAAATTCTCCAAATCCAAAATTCCCCAAATTCCAAAATTTCCCAAATCCCAAATCCACCAAATTCCAAAATTCTCCAAATTCCAAAATCCCCCAAATCCAAAATTCCCCAAATTCCAAAATCCCCCAAATCCAAAATTCCCCAAATCCAAAATCCCCCAAATTCCAAAATTCTCAAAATTCCAAAATCCCCCAAATTCCAAAATTCCCTAAATTCCAAAATTCTCCAAATTCAAAAATTTCCCAAATCCCTCAATTTCCAAAATCCCCCAAATCCAAAATTCCCCAAATCCAAAATCCCCGAAATTCCAAAATTCTCCAAATTCCAAAATTCCCTAAATTCCAAAATTCCCCAACTTCAAAAATTCCCCAAATCCAAAATTCCCCAAATTTCAAAATTCCCCAAATTCCCCAAATTCCAAAATTCCACGTCTCAAAGTTCTAAAATTCCAAAAGTGTCCAAACTGAATAATTCGAACTGACCCATTAAATATTTAATTTACCCATTTAATGCTTCGCAGATATTTGGTGCACACTGTTTCGCGGCCGTGGGTCACGTGCTAAATGTCCCAATAATAGGAGTCAGTTCCTCAGCGCTGTATCCATGGGCCTACGAATACATCGCGAATCCCGAAAACCTCGCGTTCGCGCCGAACATTTTGCTCAGCTACATGGAGAACATGAACTTCTTCCAAAGATTGTACAACTTCTTGCACCACAAGTACAACGTACACGTGTTCCGTCAAGCATCGAGCATACAAACCGAGATGATAAGAAAATACGTGAGTCCAGATTTACCGGATATCAGGGAGCTGGAGAAAAAGTTGGCGATGATTCTAGTGAATTCTCACTCGTCCTGGAACGGTATTAGACCATCGACACCGGCACTGATCGAAGTTGGAGGACTTCACGTGCAGGAGGAAGGAGTTGAGTTACCTCCGGTAATTATCTTGTCTTTACGTAGTCGCGCGAATAGTTCTTCATTAATTATCGGAAAAGTTTACGAGAACCGGAGAAATTCTATCTAGAAATATTTTTGAATGATATCTGTTTTCAGAGTCTGGAAAAGTGGATGAACGAGAGCAAGGACGGATTTATTTACTTCTCGTTCGGTTCGATGGTGAAAATCGAATCCTTCCCGGCCAAGTACCTTAAAATATTCTACAGTTCACTGGGAAAGATAGCACCCGTTCGTGTTCTAATGAAAATAGCGAAGTCGGAGGAACTTCCTCCGGGTCTGCCGAAAAACGTTCATACTTTATCTTGGATTCCGCAAGTTAAAGTTCTCAGTAAGTTTTCCTTGGAATCAAGATTCGATTTAATTAAACATGCAGTGAAAGAGCGACTAATTGTGATATTAATTTGACGATAAAACTCGTATTGTTATTAGAGCACCCCAATATTAAGGCGTTCATCACTCACGGTGGGTTGATGGGCACCCAAGAAGCTATTCACTACGGTGTCCCTATGATTGGTATACCATTGTTTGCCGATCAATTTATCAACATCGACGTCGGCACGGTGAAGAACATCACGATAGGATTAAATCTGGACACTTTAACGGAGGAGAGAATGGATGAGGCTCTGAACGCTGTCTTAAACGATCCGAAATACAGGTACATTGTCGATCGGCTTAAAATTACTTCCGAACCCTTCTGACAGGCACTTTCACTATTTTATTTCGATAACCCAATTCGAGACTTACGGAAGTTTTGTCATTTGTTAATTCATTAAAATCGTCGTTCGGCCTTAATTTCCCAAATCCCTACGTTTCAAATTCCCGAGATTCCCAAATCCCTAGATCCCTAAATCCCTAGATTTCCAAATCCCTAGATCGCCGAATCCCTAGATTCCCAAATTCCCTAGATCCCCAAGATCCCTAGATCACCAAATTCCCTAGATCCCCAAGATCCCTAGATCACCGAATTCCTAGATTCCCAAAGATCCCTAGATCACCGAATTCCTAGATTCCCAAATCCCTATATTCCCAAATCCCTAGATTTCCAAATCCCTATATTCCCAAATCCCTAGATCGCCGAATCCCTAGATTTCCGAATCCCTGGATCACCGAATCCCTAGATCCCCAAGATCCCTAGATCACCGAATTCCTAGATTCCCAAATCCCTAGATCGCCGAATCCCTAGATTCCCAATTCCCTAGATTCCCGAATCCCTAGATTCCCAATTTCCCGAGATTCCCAAATCCCTAGATCACCAAATCCCTAGATTCCCAAATCCCTAGATTCCCAAATCTCTAGATTACCAAATTCCCTAGATTCCCGAATCCCTAGATTCCCAATTTCCCGAGATTCCCAAATCCCTAGATTCCCAAATCTCTAGATTACCAAATCCCTAGATTACCAAATTCATTAAAATCGTCGTTCGGCCTTAATTTTCTCTCACTCCCAGTTTCATCAAAATTTAGTCTAATTCCCTAGATTTCCAAATCCCTATATTCCCAAATTCCCTAGATTCCCAATTTCCCGAGATTCCCAAATCCCTAGATCACCAAATCCCTAGATTCCCAAATCTCTAGATCACCGAATCCCTAGATTCCCAATTTCCCTAAATTCCCAAATCCCTAGATTCCCAAATCTCTAGATTACCAAATCCCTAGATTACCAAATTCATTAAAATCGTCGTTCGGCCTTAATTTTCTCTCACTCCCAGTTTCATCAAAATTTAGTCTACATAGATAATTTAATAAATTTTTTATTCCGTCACGAGTGGTGTTCGATTTTGCAGGAACGCAGCGAAGAAGCTGTCGGAAAGGTTCCTGGACAGACCATTGAACGCCTCGGAGACAGCAGTTTATTGGGTCGAGTACATCGCGAAACACGGTGCCGACGCGCTAAGATCACCCGCAGTCGACCTAGCATGGTGGCAAAGGGAACTGCTAGACGTTTACGCCTTCCTGTTAGTCGCTCTGTTAATTTCGTTGTACGCGTTGACGGTCGTAGTGCGATTCGTATTTCAGTTGGTCAACGCGAACGACAGTGCGGCGCACAAGAAAAAGGTTTCGTAACTGATCCAATATGAATTCGGATCGGGAAATAGTCAATATAGCGAATAAAACAATCGTGCACTTGACATTTCAATGTACTTTAGAAAAATATTCATCGATGTCGTTCGAAATGTCAAATCACGTACTATGGTCGATCATGCACTAAATGTTATTTGTACAGGGTAAACGAAAATTACGACGATTTTAGATTACGACATAACATGGTTATAGTTCCGTAATAGTTATTGTATATGGTATTAATTCGCGTTCAGTAATCGAATTATCATTCGATAATCGCAATAAGCTGTAATATCCGTTACACCGATTCGAAATCGTTATGCTTTTTGTAGTTTGACGCGTGCACACCTGTTACGGTCATTCCATAATCGATCGCTGTTACATTTCATGTGATAACACGTGCGATTAATGTACAATAATATTTCTCCATGACCAGATTCTCTCTAATAAAAACTGGAATATCAGTCAGTTAATTAACGGTTTATGTTAATTCGTTATTCCTCACAAATTCTGACATTTTGCTTTGATAAAAGTGAAGTCAAAATACACATCAGTGTGAAGTACCAAAATAGATATCAAATAGACATTTTAAATTTAAACAAATTGTAGGAAATTAAGAATTAACTTGATTCCTTCTTTTATTCCCAAATCTAGGATTATCTGAGATTTTTAGGTCCCTAGGTTGCTAGACTCTTGGTGCATAGATCTCCGATTTTTAGAACACTAATTCCCTGGAATCCTAGATCACTGGACACCTACTTCTCTAGATCCCTAGACCATGTCCCTAGTTCTCCACATTCCACGTTCCTATATTTCTAGATTCAAAATATCCCCAGATCCCAAAATATCCCTAGATTCGGAATATTCCTAGATTCGCGATGTCACTAGAACCCAAAATATCTCCAGGTCCCAAAATATCCCTAGATTCCAAAATATCCCCAGACCCCAAAATATCCCTAGATCCCAAAATATTCCTAGATTCAGAATATTCCTACATTCGCGATGTCACAAGAACCCAAAATATCTCCATGTCCCCAAATATCCCTAGATCCAAAAATATCCCTAGATTCCAAAATATCCCTAGATCCCAAAATATCCATAAATTTCCAATATCATTAGAGCCCAATATCCGCCTTGGTCCGAAAATATTCCTAAAACCTCCAAAAGTCCCTAGATTCCAAAATATCCCTAGATCCCAAAATATCCATAAATTTCCAATATCATTTGAGCCCAAAATCCGCCTTGGTTCGAAAATATTCCTAGACCCCCGAAAAGTCCCTAGATCCCAAAATATCCCTAGATCTTTAACGAATGTATGTGAATATATTCCTATGTTCCTAGGATGAATACAACGCAACGTATATCGTTATAAACGGAAGCGTGCATAGTAAAAACATATCAAAGCAAAGCGGAAACCGCTAAAAGGTCATTAGAAAGATTGCGTTACCGCAATATGTTCGAATTATCCGGCAGAAAGATGGATCTCGTTTGAAATTGATGTTCTCGAGCGATGAAATCGGGAATCGAGAGTGCAAATCGTTCGGAAGCGATCAAGCGATCATAAGATCGCGCCGACGTCGATCCATCAATCAGCATTCGGAGCCGTGGCGCGGAATCTGGGACAGGAAAACGTGGCTACGAATCCGAGAAAAAGACTTCTGAACGAAGTGAAATCCGGACAAATTGCTCCGAGCAAAAATTGCTTTCGCGAACATCGATGTCGAGTTCCGAAACGCGACGTCGGGAAACAAAAAAGATACGAAATATAAGGCGACAAAGAATTTCCTGCTAAGCTCGATCCTGTCAATTTTCGATATCGACGGAATTCCGAGTTGAATTTGATTTTGTCGGGGCGCGTTTTATTGTCGCTACACTGTCCATCAAAACGACGATCGATTTTATTTGGTCAAATGCAATATTGGCATAGTATGCCGATACAGAATTTACACAAATTTCTATCATTTTATCGATGATATTTTAGCATCGATGCGTATACATAAATTTGAAATTGTGTTCAAATTTTAAGTTGCATATAGAATCAAACAGTGTAAAAAAATACTAAGTCTGACAGAAAGATATAAAGATTAATATACCTGTTGTATATCGAATAATATGCAAGTTTGTGTATTGGGAATTATCTGTACATAAGAAATCGTGTGTGAAATGTATCGAGTGCACCTGCGGACGAAACTTCCGAAGAAGTGACCGTTACAAAAAAAGTATTGCATCACCGGTTAATTCGAACCCACACCACAGCACGAATAACCAAACCGCCTTGGACTGCGTAGCAGACTGAACCTGCGAGGCAGATTCATCAACCAGTCCTCGTCGGTCTTTCACGTACGTAGCACTGACGGTCATTTCAGAGTGATGTGCTTTACATAACGACATACGTACACGTTGAGAAATTCAGAAACGATAACGGTTCAGTGTTATCTGTTGAAAACACGTGAGTATGTTCTTTATGGTTATTTTGAAAAGATCAATTCTCGTAAGCGACTATTAACGATAAATGAAAATAGAGTATTGATAATCTGTTGCAGAGAATACTGATGCGTTAAAAGATATTTTAACATTCGGAGAAAAAGGACGATATCGCGAATTTAATCTAATCTAATCGCGTGTTGGAATATACGTAATTATATCGGGAACCGGTTCTACCGAATCAGTCGGCATTCCGCGATCGGTGCAGTTACATGATTTTTGTCGAGCAATTTGTGAATCGAATGTAAACCGTTATTCCGCCGAACAATGCATCTTACATCTTGAAACAGTGAGGTTATAAATATTTGAACTGTTATTTTAAACGTTTAAGATACTAGAGAAGCACTGGGAAAAGATTTAGACAAGCTATCCTAATGTTTCATAAGGTTCAAGTTCCAAAAACCCTAGATTTCGAATCCCTAGAACCCAAACCACTATATCCCTAAATCCTTACATAAAAAATTTCTAGATATCCAAGTTACTAGATTCTAAACATCACTAGACTCAAAAAATTACTAGATTCAAAAAAATCCCTAGATCCGAAATCTCAATATAAAAATCTCTAAAGAACCAAAACTCTAGATTGGAAAAATTCCTAGATTTGAAAAAATCCCTATATTCAAAAAAATCCCTAGATCCCAAATCTCAATATAAAAATCTCTAAAGAACCAAAACTCTAGATTGGAAAAATTCCTAGTTTTGAAAAAATCCTTAGATTCGAAAAAATTACTAAATTCGAAAAAAATCCCTAGATCCGAAATCTCAATATAAAAATCTCTAAAGAACCAAAACTCTAGATTGGAAAAATTCCTATATTTGAAAAAATCCCTAGATTCGAAAAAATTACTAAATTCGACAAAAAATCCCTAGATCCGAAATCTCAATATATAAATCTCTAAAGAACCAAAACTCTAGATGGGAAAAATTCCTAGATTTGAAAAAATCCCTATATTCAAAAAAATCCCTAGATCCCAAATCTCAATATAAAAATCTCTAAAGAACCAAAACTCTAGATGGGAAAAATTCCTAGATTTGAAAAAATCCCTATATTCAAAAAAATCCCTAGATCCCAAACCCTAGATCCCAAATTCCGGTATGTAAATCTCTAAAGGCCCAAAACTGTAAATTTGAAAAATCCCTAGTTTCAAAAATCTCTAGATTAAAAAATTCCCTAGATCATTTTCTCTATTATTTTAAACGTTTAAGATACTGCAAAGTTAACCAGATGTTGAAAGCCACGCATTTCTGAACTAACATGTGCATTTATCGGTGTTATCAGTGTGTTTACAAAACGTGTCTTTAACAGCACGATAGAAAACATTCTGTTCTAAATAGATATCATGTTGTTATTCAACGTTGCATTCGAGAATTAACTAAACGTAAAAATGTAGAAGAAACACATACGCGTTAAAAAACGACTACTATTGAAAGCTGACTAATGAGACAATTCAGCTTACAGGAAACTGCAGGTAACCGAAGGATGAGAAGGTAAAAAGTTTCACGAGGAAGAAGTTAATCGATCGCGTGTTCGATCAATGTCAATCGGATCCTATAAGAAGAAGATAAAATATTGCCAGTGAAAATGAGGCTGCTTTTAACGGTTCTTGCGGCGGTGCTGACATTCGGTCAGTCGACGGAAGGTTTGCGAATTCTTGGACTGTTTCCATTAAACGGGAGAAGCCATTGGATAATGGGGGAACGATTGCTAACTAGTTTGGCCGAGCGAGGGCACACCGTGGACGTCGTCACGCATTTCACCGTGAAAGAACCACCGGCGAATTATACAGAAATATCTTTGGAGGGAACTTTAGAATCGGCGGTGAATAAGTTGGAGTTGAGCCATGTTGTCCAATTCAACAACCAAAACTTCGAGCTGTTGACTCGGATGGTAGGCGATCAAATCTGTAAATTGATGGATTACCCGAAACTGAAGCAACTGATTGACAACCCGCCCAAGGATCCACCGTATGATTTGGTTATTGTCGAGGTGAGTTTTGTTTTTTATGGGGATTATGATAGTCGTACAAATATTGAAATTTTTCAAATCGTATTTGGGAATGCAAAAGTTTTGAATTAATGTAATTGTAAGTTGGAAATGTTTGAATTGAAGAGTTGAATAATTGTATAATTGAAAATTTGAAGAATTGAAAAATTAAAAATTGGAAACTTGAAGAGTAAAAAAATTGAATAATTGAATTGAAAATTTGAAGAATTGAAAAATTAAAAATTGAAAACTTGAAGAGTAAAAAAATTGAATAATTGAAAAATTGAAGAATTGAAAAATTGAAAAATTGAAGAATTGGAAAATTGAATAATTAAAAAATTGAATTGAAAAATTCAGTATTTGTGTCATTGAAAAATTGAAATATTTGTAACGCCTATCTCCAACAAATAGCCACTCGTTATTTACCTCGTGTCCATTTACAGTGCTAATTGAACGATAATTGAACACTGGCGACAAAGCGTAAACAAGAGAAATTCCAGTTATGGTAAAAATCTCTATACTAATCGAGTATCTCTATACACGTGTACTGAAATCTAATTAAAATTAAAATCGAAGCGTAACATATAATTAACGTAATCATATGTACTCTATTTGCATAAAGTGAATCACAGGCTTGTTATGTGATGTTACATAGTAAGCAAGGATTACGAAGCAAAATTGTAATCTTAACAGCCTATGACGTTTTTATGTTTGCGTTGTCAGTAATAATCCAATACGACAATCTTGAAGCTGACAGTGCAGAATTTTATACTCTGACGTTTTTAAATTTTGCTAGATAAATTCTGTATCGGTAAAACCTGCTTTGAGTAAATATTGAATCACTTTCAACCAGGTATCACTCTAAATATGTACTTTTCTGATTATACATTTAATGCTTTTTGATACGATGGATGATTGCACTGATTAAGCAATGAAATTATGAAATTTCACAATACAAACGTTTTTATTATTAATACGAAATTAATACGATCTGATTGAATTTGACGTTTTGAAGTGTTCTGATGTACCGATAAGAATGATACAATCGAATGTTCTTACTTGACAGAATACATGAAAACAGGACGCACATGTAGATACTTACAGAAGATTAATTATGACAATCATAGCAGTGATTAAAAGAGCTGACAAGATCTCAAATTATTCTAAGAAATATATCGCCAATACTTATCAATATATTTCAGATCGTCGACAAATACAATAAAAAAAACAGATAAAAGTGAAACGGAGCTTAATAGTAATAAGATTAGAACGTCGATTATTACAACCTTGACCTCAATTGCGTTTCACCGCGTAAATGATACAATCAACGGAATTGCAATAAATGGGAAAAATGCCGTTATCAGATGCTTCGCAAACTGCACTTTGTTTCAGGAAAATCCTAAAGTCTAAACTCAAAAATTCACCAGACTCAGAATTTCCTAGATCCCCAAATATTCTGGATTTCAAATTTCCCTAGATTCCAAATTTCTCTAGATCCCAAAATTTCCTAAATCCCAAATTTCCCTACATCCCCAAATTCCCTAGATTCCCAAATTTCCCTAGATCTCCAAATTCCCTATATTCCAAATTTCCATAGATCCCAAAATCCCCTAGATCCCCAAATTCCCTAAATCTCAAAATTCCCTACATCCCCAAATTCCCTAGATCCCCAAATTCACTAGATTCCAAATTTTCATAGATCCCAAAATCCCCTAGATCCCAAAATTCCCTAAATCCCAAATTTCTCTAGATCCCAAAATTCCCTGCATCCTCAAATTCCCTAGATCCCCAAATTCCCTGGATTCCTAAATTCCCTACATCCCCGAATTCCCCAGATCCCAAAATTCCCCAGATTCCCTAGATTCCAAATTTCCATAGATCCCAAAATCCCCTAGATCCCAAAATTCCCTACATCCCCAAATTCTCTAGATTCCAAATTTTCATAGATCCCAAAATTCCCTAAATCCCAAATTTCTCTAGATCCCAAAATTCCCTGCATCCTCAAATTCCTTAGATTCCTAAATTCCCTACATCCCCGAATTCCCTAGATCCCAAAATTCCCAAATTTCCCCAGATTCCCTAGATTCCAAATTTCCATAGATCCCAAATTTTCCTAGCTCCCCAAATTTCCCAGATCTCAAAATTCCCTAGATTCCGAATTGCCCTAGATCCCAAAATTCCCGAAATCGCTGAATTTTTTAGACTTCCTAAATATTTAGATTTTCAAATTTGGTATTTTACGCGCAAATGTCAGGGAACGTAAAGGTAACATTAAAATGAATTATCGACGTCGATTTCAGATGTTCCTGGCGTCGTGTTACCTCGCTTTCGGCCGTCACTTGAACGTTCCCATGGTCGGCGTAGTAACCGCCGGCAGCGACGAATGGTTCACCGAGAAGTTGGGAAACCCGTTTAATCCTTCTTTCGTGCCGTCTCTGTTCACCTCTTACGACCAAAAGATGAACTTCTGGCAGAGGTTGATGAATACCTTTCTAACGAACATGGTCGCGTTTCAACTAGACAGATACGTCAATCCACAGCAACAGTACGTGCAGAAATATTTCGGCATAAATGCCACGATCACGGACCTCTACCACGACCTGGATCTGCTTCTGGTCAACTCGCATCATAGTTTACTCGGAATCAGACCGTTGACGATGGGAATCGTCGAAGTTGGTGGACTGCACGTTAAAGACGACGGGAAACCGCTACCAGCGGTAAGTATATCTTATGATATCGCGGTGATTGATTCGAATGAAACTTGCGAAGTTGGCGCAGAAATAGGGAGAGTTGGTCAAGTTTCAGATATTTCAGAATTCGGAGAGAATTATTGTCTTCCCGTCCTTCCGACTTGTTCAACAGGGACCTATTTATCATGGAACCCGTCAGAGTTTCCAGAAAGAATCCTCAATTATTTAGGGACCTTGCTCGACATTTTTCGTAGTCGAATAAAATCTCCACCGTTAAATAACAACGCGTATAAGAGCGTTCGTTATTCGACAGGATCTACAAAAATGGTTGGACGAAAGCAAACACGGTTGCATATTGTTCACGTTCGGGTCGATGGTGAGAATCGAAACGTTCCCCGAGTCGCTTCTGAGAAGCGTCTACAAAGTCTTCGAAAAGATAGCGCCAGTTCGTGTGCTAATGAAGGTCGGGAAAAAGGAGGAGCTGCTCCCAGGATTGCCAAAGAACGTGATGACTAAGCCCTGGTTTCCTCAAGTAGCTGTGCTCAGTACGTTATTAAACAACTTTTTTAATAATCGAATTTCGTGATCTTAATTATAATGCTCCTTCGTACGCTTTTGTCTTATTTCGAACCTGTTTACTATGGAAGAAGTGTATATTGTTTTTTTTTTTTATTAGAGCATAAGAATACGAAAGCGTTCATCACGCACGGTGGTCTGATGGGACTGCAAGAATCCGTCCATTTTGGAGTGCCTTTGGTAGGGATTCCACTTTACGGCGATCAACATGGTAATCTCGATTCCGCGTCTAAGAAACTGTTCGCGGTGAATCTTCGCTCGTTCAAAGAAGTCAACGAGAAAACGCTGGGCGACGCGATTAATACGGTTTTGTATAATGAGACGTATCGGTGAGTATCACAATTCATGCACGTAACAAACGACATTGTACTTCATTTGTAATTACGTGAATACCTATTTGTCACAGTGTTAATTCGTTCGATATACAATTCTGCTTGGCAACTCTAACGATACGAAACTTGGCAAGACGCTAAGTTCGATCAAAGTTCGCAGAGTTCATGAAATCGAAAACTTTCGAACGCGGATCACGCGAAATTCGCAAACTTCCGAGTAGAATCGACTTTCGGTAACTTTCAGTTTTCCAAATTCCCTGTGTCTGTCTCTTCCTCATTTTCTACTTCCTTTTTCTCTCTATTGATTTTCCATTCCTTTCCTTTTATAATTTTTTGATAAAGTTTTTATTAACAGACTCGTTATATTGCCATTTTACGTGGACTTATGTTTGGTTCTATTATCGTAGCACATAAACATTAACGAAATATTAAAATTCGATTGCTATGTGTTATATTACCGCGGATTCTATTTCCTCGCGTTATATCGCCACTTTCCGTATTTTTACGCGTTTTGTTTTTACGAGTTGCATTTCCAACCGTTATATCAGTATGTTCCGAGTTACTATTCGTTATACTGCCATGCATTATATTGCCTCGCGTTATATCGCCACTCGCCTTATATTGGCATTTCGTATTCCTATACGTTATATTGCCACGCGTTGTACCACCGCGGATCGACTCTCTAAATCTAGCATTGCTATTATCACGCATTCTATTGCCTCGCGTTATATCGCCACGCGCCGTATATTGACATTTCGCATTCCTGTACGTTGTATTGCCACGCGTTATATCACCGCGCGTCGACTCTCCACATCTAGCATTGCTATTATCACGCATTCTATTGCCTCGCGTTATATCGCCACGCGCCGTATATTGACATTTCGCATTCCTGTACGTTGTATTGCCACGCGTTATATCACCGCGCGTCGACTCTCCACATCTAGCATTGCTATTATCACGCATTCTATTGCCTCGCGTTATATCGCCACGCGCCGTATATTGACATTTCGCATTCCTGTACGTTGTATTGCCACGCGTTATATCACCGCGCGTCGACTCTCCACATCTAGCATTGCTATTATCACGCATTCTATTGCCTCGCGTTATATCGCCACGCGCCGTATATTGACATTTCGCATTCCTGTACGTTGTATTGCCACGCGTTATATCACCGCGCGTCGACTCTCCACATCTAGCATTGCTATTATCACGCATTCTATTGCCTCGCGTTATATCGCCACGCGCCGTATATTCACGTTTCGTATTTTTATATATATTGCACTCCTACGTGTTATAACGCCGCGCGTCCTATTATCTATATTTTGCATTGCTACACATTATATGTATATTATACCACACGTTATATTGCCACGCTGCTTCCTATATTATCCTAATGTTCATCATTTAAATATCTTTAAATTATCTTTGCTATTCTATTAACATTCTATCGTTGATTTATGTTCTACAATAAGAAACGTTATTTCCAGGGCAAATATAAAGAAAGTATCGGAACTATTCAAAGACAGACCCATGAGCGCTGTAGACACGGCGATTTATTGGATCGAATACGTCGCACGGCACGGAAAAATTTTGCAATCACCTGCAATTCATCTTTCATGGTGGCAAGTGCACCTTTTCGACGTTTATGGTTTCATGCTTGCCTGTATAGTGTTAATACTGTACGTGTTCGTTCTTCTGGTGCGAAAATTGAAAAGAAAATTACTGGACTCATCTTGCGACCATAAAAGTAAAAAATCTTCTAATTCGAAGAAGAACAAATAAAGTGAAAAGTGTACATATAGGTTAAATACCACCGTCGAGGAACTTCCCAAGAAAATTTCGTTCAATATTTGTTCTCGTTTCTATTGTATTAACTCGCGAATGATTTTGCTAGAATGTAGTGACATAAATTATGCGGAAGACGAATTGAACAGAATATTTTCTGCGTGGTTGTTTTTTCACAGCGACTTTCAATAAACTTTCTTAATAAAAGAAATCCTCATTGTTTTCGCAGTCCTTTGATAGAACACCGAAAGGAACGAAGTCCATTACTTTTCCAACTTTTACATTTTTCTTTTCCCAACTTCTGTTTTATGAAGTCGTAACGCTCTGATGCGAATTGTTATAAGGTGAAAGACGTTTTGTTAAAATAAAAGTTGCAAAGATTTCGAAGCCTTATGTAGAATATTTTTTCGAATATTTACTATTGATAATCTATGTTAATTAATCCTTTATAAATACAACGTCACAAATTCCCAGAATTCCTATATCTCAAATGTCAAATCCCTCGAATCCCAAGACATCGAGAAATTTCTATGCTCGTAAATCGTAAAGTTAAAAAATTGACTATAAATCAATGAGCGAGTGTCGTCGCCCACCCATATTTTCAACGGGAGTCTAATTTGTCGTTGGTTACATGCAAAAGTGTATTGAAAAGTTTACCTGGTGGTGGAGTTGAATTCATGGCCTGTAACTGCAAGCATTCCTGTTCCCTTTCTTGCAAAATGCGGCGAAGTTCGTCGTTCAATAGGGTGCTGCCTGCCGTCGTATTTCCAGGCATCTGTAACAGTCAAAACAAGAATAATTATTATCAAAATTTCAATTCGTTAACGAGACGAAACATGCCAATGTCTTTCTTACCTCATTAAATCGTCCGATTATAATTAAACAGCTCCGTAGACGCAATTAAAGAACAATCACTCGCGGCACTCTATGAGAAAACAAAATGGCGGCGAGAGGAAGTTACGTTTATTGATCAAGATTAACAACGGTCATTGTTCAAGTTTCCCGATCAATACGCGATAAAAAGCGAAGAAAATTACCGCAAAAAGAAGCACGCTGGTTAACTAAAGTGTCGTGTCTGTTTGATTAATAGCACTCGCGCATTCGAAACCTTGCACTTTGTCTCCGGTATGCTCTTCAACCTTTCGCGAAATCGAGACGCGAGTGAATTATATGCATTAGCTAGTCGCGAATAGACGCTTCCATCTGTCAATCGCGAAAACCACTTTAAATTCGCACGATATTTCTCACTGTCGATCAACCGTCGCATATCGAACAAGATTTATAAAATATTACGCGTTTAAATTCTGAAATTTCACTTGTGCACACTTTCGCAATTTTGACGCGCGGAAACACGAGGCAATTTTGAAAGAAACCGTTACAAACTGCGCGTCCGGCAGGAAGCGTCCGAGCGAATCGGAAGGATTCGGGAATCTTCGATAATTTACGGCGCGCGAGCCGGTTACCGTAAATAGATCGGAAGACGAATAGTGAAAGCGTGTACTATAAACATCAAATAAATTGACGAATCAGAGAAGAAAATCGTGGAGCTCGTTTCGAAATAACAGTTAGTAATAATTCAAAAAAGTACACGAATATAAAAATCTAGAATTATGTGCAACCTCGCCGAATGTGCGTAAATAAAAAGACTAATAATATAAATAAATAAATTACCGTTTAAATCCGGGAGAGTAGGTTTAAAGACGTCACGCAAAAGACGTAAAGAAGCGAAACTAAAAAAGAGATAAAAGAAAATGAATTAGCAATCGAAAGTGGTTCTAACTGAAAATCGATACTGTCAGTCTTTCTATCGGCCCGAACGGGAGTTTCGAATTTCTAACGAGTTCCCGATCCCCTATCGCAACCGCGAGAAAATTCGTAATCCAGCGTCGCAGTTGCAAACAGGATTTAACGATCGGACAAAAGTTTTGATCTCGATGAAAACATTAGCCCGAACAGGCAATTAAAGTATCTTGGTTTCAAGACTTGGTTTCGGCATTCACTCGTTTATTTGTTTCTGTAAGTGGCTTGAGAGAAGTTTCGCGGATTGCGTATTTACATAATGCCACTTTATCGATGTAAGTGGTTGAAAACGAGCAAACTTTGACCCGAAACACAGTTTGCCAAGTGGAAGTCTATTTATAGCTGATGTCAGCAGCTATTGATCGAAAACCCCTTAATGGACCTTTGGTCTGATAACCACTCGTATCTTACGCATCAGTGTGTCAACTCTACTTTATTTGTTTTATTTAGTTATATTTTTGGGGGAAAATATAAGACACTCGAGTTGCATTGGGGTAGACTCTAGATTTGTGTCTATCATATAGGGATTTAGAGATCTAACAATTTCGAAGCTCTTAAATTATCAAGGTTACAGAACTATAAATTTTTTAAATTTCTAGTTTTATAATTTTCATACGTATAAATTCCTAAATTCCCTAGATGCAAACTGTACTAGTTACAATATTCTCTAAACCCAAAATTTATCAATTACAACATTTCCTAGATCCAAAATTCTCTAGACCCAAAATTTGCAAGTTAATAAATTCCCTAGGTCCGAAACTCAGTAGTTACAAAATTCCCTAGACCCCAAATTTACTAGTTACAAATTCCCTAGTTCCAAATTTATTAGTTACAAATTCCCTGGGTTCCAAATTTACTAGTCACAAAATTCCCTAGATTCCAAATTTACCAGTTACGAATTCCCTAGTCCCAAAATTCATTAGTTACAAATTCCCTAGTTCCTAAATTCACTAGTTACAAAATTCCCTAGACCCCAAATTTACTAGTTGCAAAATTCCCTAGATCCCAAATTTACTAGTTAAAATACTCCCTAGATCTAAAATTCACTAGGTCCCTAATTCTCTAGTCCCAAAATTCAATAGTTCCCAGTTTCCCTAGTTTCCAAATTTCTTAGTCCCCAAATTCCTTAATCACAAAAGTCCCTAGCCTCTAAATTCCCAAACTCCAAAATTCGTAACTTTCTACAGGTCCCAGTTCATTTACCCCATTTCCCAAAATGTTCAACCATGTATCTTGAATTATTTCGAAATTTTCGTGTGTTCTCGAACAAGAACATATATTCGTTAAAGATACCAGGGTTGGCTAAAGTAGTTAGCAACTTCAAAGTTCGCTTTTGCGTCTGATTTACGTGGCAAAATGGAGATCGGTTGCGATACGTTACACAGCGGTGGAGAACTTCCGCTCGTACGACGAAAATTGAGTGGCAAGTTTCGGTCTACCCTTTGCCTCCGTACATCCGAACGATCGATACGATCTGATTTATTTTTCGAAGGAAGTTTGCTCGACAAACTTGACAACTTGCTGGTCATCTTCCGTTCGGCTAATACTGTTTGCAACCTTTCTCTTTTTACCCCAACATTCGCTGAAGGTAGCAAAAGACGTCAGCGAATAATTTCGTTTCCAAACACTGTTCCAGCGAAATTTTTATTTTTTAAAGTTTTCGTATTATAAACGTTGAGATAAATATCCGAAGTAATTTAATAATTTGTACCGTCAGTTCCCTATTAAAACCCCGTTGAAAGCAATCTGCGTAATCTCTGAACTCGCGAATAGTTTAATTAGCGTAGCTGACAGGGTAGAAAGTTTCGAGAACACCGAATCATTGAATTTCCCAACGGGAACTTGAGATAAATCAATGATAGCCGATTTCGGATTCGGAATGGAAGTAAATTAACTGGTGTGATGTATTAAGTAATTACATCGTGTTCAGATTGTAATTAGAGTCAGCAGTGTGTCGACAGTGATTGCGGAATATTCACCGGTGAACGAATCGATATGATCAACCGGTGATAAATTGATTAATCAGCTTATACAGGGTGTCTCACAACTAGTGCCCTGAAATGAGGGGGAGCTGATTCTGAATAAGATTTCCCTTTGCGAAAATGGGATTCGAAGCTTCGTTTTTGAATTATTAAGACGGAAGACATGGACCGATTAGAGCGCGAGGATTATTACGCGTTGGACTACTACGCGTCGAATATCCACGCGTTGGATTACCACGCGATGGATATCCACATGTTGGATTACTACGCGTTAGATTACCACGCATTAGATTCCTACGCTTAGAATTACCACGCGTCGCATTATTACGCGTTGGATTACTACGCGTAGAATATGCAAGCGCTAGATTACTACGCGTTGGATATCCACACGCTGTATTAGTACGCGTTGGATTACTGCGCATTGGATTACTACGCGTAGGATTGCCACGCGTTGCATTACCATACGTTGCATTACTACGCGTTGGATTACCACGCGTTGGATATCCACATGCTGGATTACTACGTGTTAGATTACATCGCATTAGATTCCTACGCTTAGAATTACCACGCGTCGCATTATTACGCGTTGGATTACTACGCGTAGAATATGCACGCGCTAGATTACTGCGCGTTGGATATCCACACGCTGTATTAGTACACGTTGGATTACTGCGCATTGGATTACTACGCGTCGAATGAGGTGTATTAAGTCTGCGAGAGCCTCTTACGTTACCTTGAAAACGTTATTGCTTTTATTTTCGCATTTGTACGCCACATGCGTTCCAATTATGCTATTATATCAGCCATGTCGATGTATCGCGTCGAGAAATCGAACAGAGAACGAAAGGTCTGTTACTGGGTCGACGCGCAAATTCAAAGCCTTCGTATTTATTTCCTCTCTGTTCTTCCTTCGTCGTTTATTCCTGGTTCAATTAAATTACTCGGTGAAATTATTTTCAACTCGGTTATTTTAATAACTTCAATTTATTTAATAAGTTTTTATTGGGTTTTAACGGTGCGGGGTCGCAATTGTTTACGGCCATTTTGTTTTTTATGGAGATCTTCTGACGGCCATTTTGTTTATGGTAGTAGACGAAATTTGGGGATTTGAGAATTTAAGGATCTGGGGATCTAGGAATTTTGGGGGTTTAAGGGATTTGGGGATTTAGGGATTTGGGAATCTAGGGATTTGATGACGTAGGTAAAACGACCCGATTAACAGGTTGACGACCGTCAAGGAAACATCCGTGTCTGTCCGATAGAATATTTTCCAGTCGGGCAACAATCGCGACAGACAAACGCGTAGTGGCACAACACGAACAGATTGAAATCACCGACACGTACAAATTGTCCGCGCGATTAGATGCCGGCAAATCGTCGGATAAGTGGAATCGCGGATCTCGTGACGAATATAATCTACGAAATTTCTAACTCCGCACGATTCTGTTATCGCGATGGAAATTCATCGCGTGAAACGTAAACTTTCAACTTCCAGCGAAACTAACTTCGCTCCGCATCGATACGTCGACGTACAATCGATTATCAATAAACTATCAATAAAATGTCAGTCACCAATCAATTATCAATTAACTATCAATAAAATGTCAGTCACCAATCAATTATCAATAAACTATCAATAAAATGTCTATCACCAATCAATTATCAATAAACTATCAATGGAATATCAATCACCAATCAATTATCAATAAACTATCAATAAAATATCCATCACCAATCAATTATCAATCAACTATCAATGAAATATCAATCACCAATCAATTATCATTTAACTATCCATAAAATATCCATCACCAAACAATTATCAATCAACTATCAATAAAATGTTTATCACCAATCAATTATCAATCAACAATCAATGAACTATCAATCACCAAACAATTATCAATCAACTATCAATGAAATATCAATCACCAAACAATTATCAATCAATTATCAATAAAATGTTTATCACCAATCAATTATCAATCAACTATCAATAAAATATCAATCACCAATCAATTATCAAAAAAGTATCAATAAAATATCAATTACCAATCAATTATCAATCAACTATCAATGAAATATCAATCACCAATCAATTATCATAAAAGTATCAATAACCACTAAATTATCAATCAATTAATCATAAATCACCAATAAATAATCAATGAATGCATCATCAATCAATCACCAATAAATAATCAATCAACAATCAGCAATAAACCGTAAATCACCTATCACCAATAACTTATCAATAGTCGATGACAAATCACCACTTACTAACAATCAACATCAACTTATCAATTTCTTGACGTGGTAATTGCAAATGACACCCCCGAACGCGTGATTAATTACCAGTTACCGATCATTAATTACCATCTGTACCGGTAATCAAACATCGATCAATTATCTATTAATTAGCAGTCGCCAACAAGCCACCAATTAAACGAACGACGTACAATCGAGATGAAGCAACGTTAAAATCAAAAGTAACACGGAGCTTGCGATTACGATCTTGGATAAAGTCGACAGACTTCTATAAAAGGTTGGAGAGTTTCCCGGCGAACGAAACTGGCTTACGGTTTTGCATACCGTCTGACACGACACATCAAACAGAGCCGCGTTATCGATACTAGGCATTCACGTGTCACGCCAACGACATTTACACGCGTGTCGCCTATGTGTAAACGTCGAATCCGACGTGGCACTATCTGCACGCCGGTTTCATCTGATTTCATCTCTGCACGAGCGGACGAGACACTGTTCCTCCGAGTATCGATCTTCCGACGCGACGTTTTAATTGTTCTACCTTTTCCGAAACGTGAAAGAGAAATAATCTGTTAGAAAAATGACATGCGATTGAAAACTTGTATT